CTCTCTCTTCTCTCTCTCTCTCTCTCGATCTCTGATTGCTCTTTGTGGTGTACAAACCTGCCAGACGTAGTTCCCAGGTTTTAGCTAATTAACGTTCCATACAAGTTTAAGGGCTCCGCAAAACGCTTGCAAACTCCTTTTTCCCCCATTTTTGAAGGTTCCCGCATTTCATGGACGCCGATATTCGGGGGAAGTGTGTTTTTTTTGTGACTTTTTTTTTTTTTTTTTTTTGAAGAGAAAGGGTTAATAAAGCAAATTTGATTTTTTATATGACGGGGTGAAAGTGGTGAAGGCAGCCTTGTTTAAAGGTCACGTAATTGTACTTTACGGAGGGAGGTGCGGTTCTTTAAAATGTGATTAATCAAACCCAGAGTTACGGGTGGTCAGTTTGTTAAAAAAATTTTAAAGAGAGAGTGTTCCAGTAACTGCATCACATTATACTAAGACAACTCAGCCAGTATCCAGGTAGCCCAAACCCCCAGTAATGGCATAAACAACTTGAAATTTTAAAAACCCAAAAATTTCAGTTTCGTTTAAAAACCGTACAAGTCCCAATTTCCCCTCCACTCCTTTCCCTTTCCACTGTATTGTTTTTTTTATTTTCAAGACCCCCAAGACGAGTAATTGCTGTAAACTCTATCTTTACCATCTCGAAAAAAGATTTGGGGGAACGATGTAGGCTACTGGAGAAAATTTATAATTTAATAACATGCTAAAGAATGGTGATAACTGATCTAACTAAAATACATGAAAAGTGTTCTTATGATTGGTTCAATTCCTCTAGCATTTGCTGGTTTTGCTCAAAGGCAGCTTATATTATTATTATTATTATTATTATTTTTTAGCCTGTGTTCCAAATTTTCCAGTTAAATTAAAATAATTAGGGTGGGGGTTAAAAGCAGACTAAAGAACCCCTCTTGTGATTGGCTTCAGAATTTCATGTTTAGTGTTTGTAAAGACTTATTTTCTTTTAGAAATAATGGATTTTTTTTTTTTATTTTATTTAAAATTTGTGGCATTAATTAAGAATGCTCAGAAAGCTGGGTTTCAGTCAAACGTGGTAGTCCACTTAAAGCAATTTTTAAATTTTTTAATAGGCATTGTACCCCAAATTTGTAAGTTAATTTTTTTAAAAAAGTTTGAACGTTTTTTTTTTGGGGAAACTAAAAAATATGGGTTACAAGTGAGAAATAAAAAAAAACGCCTTTATTGCTCCAAACCTATGTTAATAACTTTAAAAATTTTTTTTGTTTTCTGTTTAGTACGAGACAATAATTAAAAAAAAAATAATCTTAAAAAAATATTAAATGCTCGGGAGATCCACTAGCGAGTTACGTTAAGACCAATCTTTGGATTTCCGTAACATACATTGAGGAAAAAAACCCCAAACCATATACGCCAATAAACTCGACAAGTTTCGTCATTCATGTTTTAAAAATTTAATCCCGTCAATCCCTTCTCCCAGTGTCAAACTATGTTTCAGCTTAGCTTTTGGGACCCCTTTATTTTTAAATTTTTTATAAATGAAAAAAAAACCCAGGGGGGGCCAAGCAGCATTGGGGAAATTAACCCAACAAAAAGGGGCAGCTCAAGAATGGTTTGAAAATTTTTCACCAATTACAAAAGATTCTTCACGAGGAAAAAGTTTCCAAAAAATTTTATAATTGGTTGCATTGAAACATATACTAAGTCTTTCATTTTTATGTCATGGACTAGATAAGGGGAAGGGGGTACAGGAAACCCAGGATAACTTCCTCGGATTATTCAGACAGGAGGGGTTTAAAAGATATTTTCCCGGGATCAAGGGGAAGATGAGCTGGGATTACGGGAAAACTTTCGGGATCACTACGTATAAAGCGGGGGTTTATGGTAGCCGTAAAAACCTTTCTCAGCACTAAAGTAAGGGGGACTGTGGTTGTTGAAACAAGTGATCTTCCTCAGATAAACGAGGTGAGGGACGAGGGATGCAATTAATGGCCAGGATCGCACATTGGCGTAAACCATTTATTTCGTTTTTTTTACCCAGAATCTTTCACCGTTTCTTTACTCGTTGTTTGTGACGCAGGCCCTGGTGACGTATTCATCAAAGTACTGTTAGTGGCGCTCAGCATCGACCGGTTGATCCATCACTCACCCCCTTAACTTCTCAGGCAGCTGTGATATTTGGGGCTAATTCGTGTTTCTGCGAGTGTTTTGTGTGTGTGGTGGGTTGGTGTGGTGTGTGTGTGTGTGTGTGTGGGGGTTGTGGGGTGGGTGGTGTGTGTGGGGGGTTTTTTTTACACTCCTGTTCACACTCAAAATTCCTTAACTTTAATATTTTTTTGCATTTTCCCCCCTCACCCCCCCCTCACCCCCCCCTCACCCTCCTCACTCTTTCCCAACTCACCGTCCCCAGTCACCCCCCCCATCACCCCCCCCCACTAAATCTTCCCAACCACCCTCCCTACTCACTCTCCATACTCATTCTCCTAACTCACCCTCCTACTCAACCTCCGAACTCACCTCCCTACTCACCCTCACCACTCACTTCCCCACTCCCCTCCTCATTCACCCCCCACTCACTCTCCCCCATTCACCCCCCCCCACCCCCCTCCCCATCACCCCCCCCACTCACCCTCCCACTCACCCTCCTACCCCCCCTCCCCACTCACCCCCCCATCACCCTCCCCACTCACCCTTCCCTTCTCACCCTCCCCTACCTCCCCTCACCCCCTATTTACCCCCTACTCACCCTTTCACCCTCCCCCCCTCACCCTCCCCAAATCACCTCCCTACCCCCCTCCCCCCTCACCTCCCCACTCACCCTCCCACTCACTCTCCCTACTCACCCCCCACCCCCTCCCCATCACCTCCCCATCCCCTCCCCTACTCCCCTCCCCACCACCCTCGCTACCACCCTCCCACTCACCCCCCCACTCACCCTCCCCACTCACCCATCATCACCCTTCCCACTCACCCTCCCCCACCCACCCTCCCTACCCACCCTCCCATCACCTCCCCCACCACCCTCCCCCCCCCTCATTCCACCACCCCTCCCTATTCACCTCCCACTCACCCCCCCCACCACCCTCCCTACTCACCCCCCTATTCCCCCCTACCCCCCTCCCCCCTCCCTCCCCCTCACCCCCCCCCTTTCTCACCACCCCCTTCCCCTACTCACCCTTCCCACTCACCCTCCCACTCCCCCCTACTCACCCCCTCCACTACCTCCCCACTCACCCTCCCACTCACCCTCCCCTACTCACCCTTCCATACTTCACCCTCCCCACTCATTCTCACCACCCCCCCCTACTCACCCTCCCCACTCACACCTTCCCCCCCACCACCCTCCTCACTCACCTTCCCTACTCACCCTCCCTCACTCACCCTCCCTACTCTTATCACCCTCGCCATAGTTCCCCTCAACTCCCCCCTCGCACTCACTCTAGACCACCCTCCCTACTCACCCTCCCCACTCACCATCTCTACTCACCCTTCATACTCACCCTCCTCACTCACCCTCTCTACTCACCCTTCACCACTCACCGTCCCTACTCATCTCCGACTCACCCTCTCCACTGACCCTCCTCCACTGACCCTCCCTACTCACCCTCCCTACTCACCTCCCGATTCACCTTCCTTGCTCACCTTCCCACTCACCCTCTCCTACTCACCTCACCACTCACCCTCCCTACTCACCTTCCTCCCTTACCCTCCCCACTTACCCTTTCCACTTAACCTCCCCACCCTCCTTTCCTACTCACCCTTTCCACTTACCCTCCTCACTCACTCTTCATATTCACCCTTCCGACTCACCCTTCCCAGTCACCCTCCCCACTCGCCCTTCCCACTTTTCCTCCCCACACATCCATTTCACTCACCCATCAAACTTACCCTTCCCACCCATCCTTCAAACTCATCCTTCCACTCACCTTTCCCATTTACCTTCCCCACTCACCCTTAGCACTCATTTCTCCCACTTACCCTTCCCACTCACCCTTCCCATCTCCCACTCAACATTCCCCGCTCACACTCCCCCATTCACACTTCCACTCACAGTCCCCGCTCTTCCTCTCACTACCACGTAATGCTCACTTCATCGCCCTCCCCTTCCACTTCCACTCACCCTCCCCACTCACCCTCTCCACTCACCCTCCCCACTCATCCTCCTCCACTCACCCTCCCAATTCACACTTCCCACTCACTCTCTTCACTCACATTTCCCTAACCACCTCTCTCCACTCACTCACCGAACTCTCAATTCCACTCATCATCCGAACCCATCTATCTCCTCCCTTCCCCCCTCACCCTCCCCCCCAATCACCTCCACTCTTCCTGCCCCGCCCACTCACCCCACCCACCCTACCATTCAAACCTTTCCACTCACTCTCCCTACTCATATTCCCCGCTCACCCTCTGTACTTATCTTCCACAATATCATTACTCTCCCTCCCTCCTCAGCTTCCCACTCACTCTCTCACTCACCTTCCCATTTATTTTCCACACACACTCTTACTAAACCTCCCACTCTCCAATTCGCCTGTCAATCACCCTTTCACCCCTCCTTTCATTCTCCTTATTCAACCTCCTTACACTCCACATTCATCCTCTCCTTCAGTCTCCCACTCACTCATCTTCTCTAATCTCCCACTCACTCATCCTCTCATTCCCTTTCCTACTCAACCTTCTCACTTATCCTTTCTACTCAACCAACCCACTCACGCTTCACACTCGCCTCTTCCACTCACTTCCCCACTCACCTTCCCACTCACTTCCACACTCGTCTTCCCACTCACCTTCCTACTCACCTTCCCTCTCACCTCTTTCAGGGAGGCGGGCACGACGGCTGGTGGTGGTGGCTTGGTTCTTATCAGCTGTCTTCGCCTCTCCCAGCCTCGTCTTCTTCATGGAGGCTCCAGTTGACGGTAAGTCACCTTCACTCACCTTTACTCGCTCTAGTTGACTGTAAATCACCTTCACTCACCTTTACTCGCTCCAATTGACGGTATGTCACCTTCATTCGCCTTCGTACTCTCCTTTCCTCACTCCAATGGACGGTAAATCGTCTTTATTCACTTTCCCATTCACCTTCTCTAGATCAAAAGGACGGAAAGTCACCTTTTTACACCTTCACCCTCACCCTTCCTTGCGCTAGTGGACGGCAAGTCACCTTCACTAAATCTTCACTCTCGCCCTTCCTCGCTCCAGAGTACGGTTAATCACCTTTATTCACGTTTACCCTCACCATCCTTCGCTCCAGTCTTCTGTGTCACCTTCAGTCACCTTCCCTCGCTCCAGTGGATGTCGTCACCTTCGCTCACCTTCCCTTGCTCCAGTAGACGTGTCACCTTCAGTAACCTTTCCTCGCTCCACTGGAGGGTAAGTCTTTCGTTCATAAGAAGGAAGAACACTTCGGTAGGCCTATTGGCCCATGCTAGGCAGGCCTAACTCCCACCCACTCACGCCTACTCATAGCCACTTCCAACTTATTTTCAAAGCTTCCCAAGGATGTCAATGATGGTAATCGGGAGTTAGTTCCACTCCTCTGCATCTCTATTACCTAACCAGTGCTTTCTTACGTTCTTTCGAAAGATAAACTTTTCCAGCTTGAATCCATTGCTGCGAGTCATTTCAAGGTTAAATATTTTTAGCACGTCATTGTATCCGGTTTATTTATTCGTCCTTCCATTTACTCACCACAGTCATATCCTCCTTTAATCCTACGCCTTTCCAGAGAGTGCAGATTCAGTGCCATCAATCTGTCCTCGTGGGTAAGTTCTGGTACACGGATCATCTTTGTCATTCCGAGTTATGAATGTTTAGCATTTTATGTCCAAACTGTATTCCGGGGACCAAAAATGTTGCTTACTCTATACCTTACCCCTTTCCAAGACCACAGAATCGAAGTTAGACTGGACTCCTATTATTTTTAAATTTTACATAAACCGAGAATTCATTTAAATTTTAAAGCGAGCACTTAGGGCCTCTTGTCTTGGTTTAAAATCACTGCAACCGAAGTTGAATTTTTATCACATTCATCTGACGAGATTTTTTGCTCTTTTTAGGTGCCATAGAAATTTTCTTTTTTCAGGGCTAGAAACCCATCATTTGTCTAATTAAAATGCATCTGCCATTCCTCCGGGACATTTCGACTTAACGTTATTCTGTCATCTCTTCGTTTTCACCTTCCTTGCTGCAGTAAACGGTATGTCCTTTTTTTTCTCTTACATGACCTTCATCTTCCAAGCTTCAGTGGGGCGGTAAGGTAAGCACCTTTATTTATCTTTACACACAATATCGCCCACCTACTGACCAGGGGAAATGAAACATATCAGTGAGGTTTTACACCACTAAGGAACAGGAGAGTGAAACATAGCAGGAGGTTCTTCATCACTCTGACCAGGAAGTGAAAACATAGAAGAGGCTTCTTACATCAAACTGCCGGAGAGTGAAAATAGCAGTGAGGGTTCTTCATCCACTGACCCCGGAGAGTGAAACATAGCAGGGGGCTTCTTACATCCACTACTGACCAGAAGTGAAACTGCATGGGCTTTTTACATCACTACTGACCAGGGAGTGAAACAAAGCAGAGAGGGTTCTTACATCACTACGACCAGGGGAGTTTAAAAAATAGCATGAGGCTTCTTACATCAACTACCAGGGAAAATGAAAAATAGCAGTGGGCTTCTTTCATATACGACCAGGGGAGTGAAAAAAGAGTGAGGCTTTTTACATTTCATGACCAGAAGTGAAACTAGCAGTGAGGTTCTACATCTACGACCAGGAGAGTGAAAAAATAGCAGTGAGGGTTCTTTCTCACTACGACCAGGGGGGTGAAACATAGCAGTGAGGCTTTTACATCACCTTTACCAGGAGAGTGAAACCTAGCAGTGAGGTTCTTACATCAATACGCCCGGGGAGTGAAACATGCAGGAGGCTTCTTACTCACACGGACCCGGAGATGAAACATAGCAAAGAGGCTTCTTACATCACACGGACCAGGAAGGGGAAACATAGCAGTGAGGCTTCTTTCATCACTACTGACCAGGGGATGAAACATAGCATGAGGCTTTTTAATCACTACGGACCCGAGAGTGAAACATAGCAGGGGCTTTTTTACATACTACTGACCAGGGAGTGGAAACATAGCAGTGAGGCTTCTTAATCATAGGGCCAGGAGATGAAACATAGCAGTGAGGGTTCTTACATCACACTGACCAGGGGGGTGAAACATAGCAGTGAGGGTTTTTACATCACAGGACCAGGAAGAAACAAAGATGAGGGTTCTTTCATCACTACGCCAGGGGGGTGAAAAGTATGAGGCTTTTAATCACTACGGAAGGAGGAAAAAAAAAGGGGGAAAATGACGGAGAGAAAAAAAACGGAGGAAAAAAAAGGGGGAAAAACGGAGAAAGGAAAGGGGAAGGAAAAAAAGAAAAACCAGGGGGGGTGAAACATAGAAATAGGCTTTACATCACTACGGGCCGGGAGTGAAACATAGCAGGAGGCTTCTTACTCACTACGACCAGGGGATAAAAAATAGATGAGGCTTCTTTCATCACTACGGACCAGGAGAGTGAACATTTGCAGAGGCTTTTTACATCATACCCGACCAGGGAGTGAAACTAGAGTGAGGGTTCTTACTCACTACGGACAGGAGATGAAACATAGCATGAGGCTTCTTACATCACTACTGACCAGGGAGTGAAACATAGAGTGAGGCTTTTTAATCACTAGACCAGGGAGTGAAACAAGCGTGAGGCTTCTTACATCACTATGACCAGGAGAGGAAACAAGCATGAGGGTTTTTTACTCATACGGGCAGGAGAGTGAAAAATACATGAGGTTTTTACTCACTACTGCCAGAATAAACCAAACATGAGGGTTCTTACATCACCCTACTGGGCCCCCCCAGGAAGGGGTGAAACATAGCAGTGAGGGTTTTTTACTCACTACTGACCCGGGGAGTGAAACTAGCAGTGGCTTTTTACATCACTCACCAGGAAGTGAAACTAGCAGTGAGGGGTTCTTACATCACACTGACCAGGAAGTGAAAAATAGCATGAGGCTTCTTACATCACTACTGCCAGGGGGATGGAAACATAGCAGTGAGGCTTTTTACATCACTACGACCCGGAGAGGAAACATACAGTGGGCTTCTTACATCACTACACCAAGGGGGAGTGAAACATAGCAGTGAGGTTCTTTCTCACTACGACCCCGGGGAAAATGAAACATAGCAGTGAGGCTTCTTACATCACTACGGGCCAGGAGATGAAAAATAGCAGTGAGGCTTCTTTTTCACTACTGACCAGGGGTGAAACATACAGTGAGGCTTTTTACATCACAGACCAGGGGAAATGAAACCAAGCAGTGGGCTTCTTTAAACCACTGACCCGGGGGAGTGAAACATAGCATGAGCTTCTTTCACCCCAAGGACCAGGGGAGGAAAAAGCATGAGGCTTCTTACTCACTAGGACAGGAGAGTGAAACATGCAGTGAGGTTTTTACTCACTATGACCAGGGGGAAAAAACAGTGAGGCTTTTTACTCACTATGACCAGGGGAGTGAAACATAGCAGTGAGGGTTTTACATCACTACTGACCAGGGGGAGTAAAAATAGCAGGATCTTTCAACAAGGACCCGGGAGTGAAACTAGCATGAGCTTTTTACACAAATAAGACCAGGAGAGGAAACATAGCAGTGACTTTTTACACCCTGGACCAGGAGAGGAAACTAGCAGTGAGGCTTTTACATCACTACTGACCAGGAAGGAAACATAGCAGGAGGCTTTTTCTCACTACTGACCAGGAAGTGAAAAAATGCAGTGAGCTTCTTTCACACTAGGACCAGGGGAGTGAAAAATGCATGAGGCTTCTTACCCATAGCCAGGAGGTGAAACATGCAAGGGGGTTCTTACACACTAGGGCCAGGGGTGAAAAATAGCAGTGATTTTTACACCCCTAAAAAAACCCGGAGAGTGAAAAATAGCAAGAGGCTTCTTACAACACTACTGACCAGAGAGTGAAACAAAGCAGGAGGGTTCTTACATCACAAAGACCCGGGGGATGAAACAACATGAGGCTTCTTACTACTATGACCAGGGGAGTGAAAATAGCAGGAGGCTTTTTACATCACTACTGACCAGGGGGAGTGAAAAAAGCAGTGAGGCCCCTTCAACTAAGACCAGGAAGTGAAAAATGCAGGAGGCTTCTTACATCACTACTGACCAGAGAGTGAAAAAGAGGAGGCTTCTTTCATCACTACGGACCAGGGAGTGAAACATAGCGTGAGGGTTTTTACATCACACTGACCAGGGGAGTGAAAATAGCAGTGAGGCTTTTAATCACTACGACCAGGGAGTGAAACATAGCAGGGGCTTCTTACATCCCACGGGGCCCCGGAAGTGAAAATAGCATGAGGCTTCTTTCATCACTAGGGCCCGGGGATGAAACATACAGTGAGGCTTTTTACATCACTCGGGCCAGGGGGGTGAAACATAGCAGTGAGGCTTCTTTTCATCCTACGGCCAGGAAGGTGAAACATAGCAGTGAGGCTTCTTACATCAAATGACCAGGGGAGTGAAACATGAGGAGGGTTCTTACATCACTCGGACCAGGAGGTGAAACTAGCATGAGGGTTCTTTAAACACTACGACCAGGGGAGGAAAAATAGATGGGCTTCTTTCATACTACACCAGGGGAGTGAAACATACAGTGGGGGTTTTACATCACTCGCCCGGGGAATAAACTAGCATAGGCTTCTTACATCACAAAGACAGGGAAAATGAAACATAGATGGGCTTTTACATCACTAACCCCGAGAGTGAAAAAATAGCGTGAGGCTTCCTTTCACTAGACCAGGGAGTGAAAAATGATGAGGCTTTTTACATCACTACGACCAGGAGAGTGAAAATAGCAATGAG